AGAAAACAAAAGATAAAAGAAAATATAACTATCAGTCTTCTCATCTCTTTAAACGTCTTAAATGGTACTACAAAACAGATGAATGTCTGGGAAGCAAGTTTTAATTTTTTATTTTGCTCCACATTTTTGTAAGGCTTGCCATCAGGCCTTTGCCACCAGTTTCTGAGGAATCATAAAAAATAATGACCATCTATAAAGTACTCTGAGAAACAAGGATTAAAGGAATACCTCATAAGTAAAATAGTATTTAAATCCTACCACTTTAAGAAATACCAAATGATGGGAAGCATCACTACTGTTATAAACCTTTCAGCTAAACCAAAGCTACTGTTTTCAAGTCAGCTAAGACCGCATGTTACTCTCTTACACATAAAGAAGAATCTTCTGACTACCCAAACCTCAACCATTCTAACAAACAATATAGCTAATCTTTTCTTTTTGGTGGTACTAGGGATTGAACCCAGGGTCTAGAGGATCCTAGGTTACTATTCTATTGCTCTATTTTTAGGTATACCTAATCTTGAAAACAGCTTTATAAATCCTCACTTCGTAAGAGTTCAAAATTTCTTAACCTCTAGGTATTAAAGATATTTAAAGTTATTCCCTCTGATCCACCCAACCTAAGCTGGGAACACCCCTTTTATGACCCACAAGTTGGAAATCATACCACGCATAAAAGTATATTTTTAAAAGGAAGTTCTCAGACTAATCCTGGCTAATGATTTTCATATTTTTCTATTAACCTTAACCTATTTACTGTTAAAGGGACTTAAAAGCAGTGACAGAGCCAGGTGTGGAGGTGCACATCTGTAACCCTAGTTAGTAATGGGGAGGTTGAGGCAGGAGATTACTGAGAGTTTGAGGTCAGCCTGAACTACATAACAAGTCTCTGTCTCAAAAAAACCCCAGAAAAACAAAACAAAAAAGGAAGTGACAGGACTTAAAAGTCTAAGAAAAAATTTAGGAAAGAAGGCTGCCAATACCTGATTTTAGAAGGTCAATTATGCTGGGTACAGTGGCACATGACTGTAATTCCAGCACTGGGAAAGGCTAAGGCAGGATTTAAGTTCGAGTTCTGAATAGGCAACTCAGAGAGACCTTGTCTCAAAGTAAAGTAAAATAAAATAAAGTAAAATAGACTGGAGACACTGCTTAGTGGAACACCTCCGGTTTGATTCCCAGTGGGGAAGGGGGAGAGTGAGAAGTAGATCACACACATCCAGTATGTGTAATACTAGAGTTCTGTTTAAGTGCAGCTTAAGGATTTCTACTTGGCACCCACATACAGCTTCTGCCCAATGGAAAGAGATATGCAGGATTCATATTTGTTTTTATTAACTAAGAGTCCTGTATGACCTTGTCACTGGTTATTTCCTTGAAGTACTACTTTCTTTCTAGATCTCCCACTCATTCATTCATTCACTGGTACCAGGGATCAAACTAGGGACCTTGTGCTTGCGAGGCAGGCAGCGGCATCACTGAGCTAAATCCCTTGCCCTAGATCTGCCCATTTTATAAATAAACTGAGGCACAGGTTGAGCAAGTTGCTCTTTCATATACTGATACCCATCAAATTTGGATCCAGTCTTTGCTTATATAGAAGTTTTCCATCTCATTATCACCCATAAATGTTACAACAAAAACATACAAACAAAAAGCAACATTAGTATACATATTCAGCACTGAAGTACACACCACAAGTTGGTGCAAACTAATCTTAACAAAAAGCAATGTATGTGGTAGAGACTGCCCTTGTAGCTTGACAAAATAGGGATTCAGCAAAGGGCAGTAGACACTCAAGGGCCAGAATTACATACTAAGAGAAAACTGAGCTGGTTGTTTCATTTCTAAACAGGGATTTACAAGGTGTGGGAGAGCAACTGTTGTCAAATATATGAATACACGTATCTGTATTTGAGCTCCAAACTGGATATCAAAATAAATAATGTCCTGGACATGTGTGGAAGAGCTTTTTGGTTTTGGTACTGGGGACCGAACTCAGGATCTTGCGCTTGTGAGGCAGGTGGCAGTGGAACCACTAAGTTAAACCCCGGCCCATGTGTGGAAGAGTTTTAAGAAATTTAATACATGCTAACCATTATTTACTTACCAAGTTTCTACAAAGAGCAAGGGTGATGCTTTTGGGAAGGCAAACCTGAGCTTTATGTTTAAAGAACACAGAATAGGGTAAAAGAATCCTGAAAGGAGATGTGAATACTACTTTTTTGCACAGGTCTTTTTGCAATGTGTAAATAATGGAATAACATTGATGGTATGCTATTTAGAGTAAGGAAAGAAAGTATCCAGTAACTATAAAAGAGTCCCCATCAGAAACAATGTGCATATTGACTAATAGATTCTGAACATATCACCTTAAAAATGCAAATAACACTGTTCTTAAACTTTTTTTTTTTTTTAAACTGTTTTTCTCAGTCAGGAAAACAGAAACCACACTGGGATTTATCAAGTCCTTTCTATTATTTTCAAAGCATTTGTATTTGGCCCTCAAGGATTGAGCCAGGTTAAGTATCATGGTGAACTCAGAGACCAGCACTGAACTTGGGTTCCACTTTTCGATCTACTTTCTAGCTATAGTTGCTTGGGGAAGGAATCCTCTTTGAACTCTGGTTTCTAGTCTGTTCTATGTACCTCCCAGGTTTGTTGAGGGTGCTGAATGAAATAAAATACATGTAAAAACATTTGATGCCCGGCCAGGGATTTAGCTCAGTGGCACCATGCCTGCAAGGTCCTGAGTTCAATCCCCGTACCAACAAACAAACATTTCATGCCACACAAACATACTTTGCAACTTAATTTGCTAAACTTCCCCCTCCACCCCAGTATCTGCTATGTACTAAGCATTGCTGAAACAGGAAGATTCTTATCTGAGGAATTAAGTGTAGAGTGGGAAAAAAAACTAATAAGTAAATAATTACAATAGTAAGGTGCTATTAAAGAAGCACAGTGAAGGGGACGCCATTGCTTGCCTCCCAAGTACAAGGTGCGAAGTTCGATCCCCAGTACAAAAAAAAAAAAAAAAAAAAAAAAAAAAAAAAAAAAAAAAAAAAAAAAAAAAAAAAAAAAAAAAAAAAAAAAGGCAGCACAGTGAAGCAATCAATTAACTGGGCACCAAGGAGCAGATATTAAATAACTTGCTCAAGGAAAAATGCTTAGTAAGTACTAAAATAGGAACGTTCTTCTGATATTAAACCAGAGTGTCTTTTACTGGGTCTCGTATATACTACATAGTGTTCAGTATTAAAATACCATAATACTTTTATGCGTTCAATGTATAAAACACCACCTGTCTTTAAAAAGCTATTTAACTAAACTCCAAGCTAATATCAAAGACCTGAACTGTCAATTTTTCCCAGTCCAATGGTGGGGAGAACTTCTTTCTTCTATCAGCGAGTGGTCAAGTCCACATTCCTTTCCAAAGTGCATTATGCTTTTGGGAAAAAGCTATAATGCTCATTAGTAATGTTCTCTGAATGTTAATTCTTGGTCCAGAGTGCTACACAAATAAAAACTTTAAACTATTTCACTGTGGTTGAAAGAGGAATTATCACCAAATCTCTATAGGCATTACCATGTGTCAGACAACTACATCTTTTGGGAATTAGCAACTGTCATCTGCTATCACATGACCTGAGAACAGATTTGAGTTTTAAAGAGTAACAACTCAAACAGGAGAAAAATCAAGACTTTTCTGATATATTCTTTTCTAGGAAAAAGTGTTTCTTGTTTAGTGAAAATTAAAGTCGTCAAAGTTTTAGGACCTCAGGATGAATACTCTTCTAATTCTTAGTTATGCATAATTTAACACCAAAGTTGTATTCTTATCGTTGCCAAAACTCGGCAAATTGATACTAACAGTAATAAAGCTCTCAGTGTGACATGTAATTAGAACTTAAGGGGTGCCTCAGTCTACAGAAACTAGAGCGCTAAAGCAACGTGAGCTTCAAACTTAAACATAGAATAATAAATTATTCTTGGACCTGGCTCTTTTAGGTATGGCTTGGCCCATCCTACTGGTTCTCTGGAGAAAAGTACGGTCTGGTTTCCACCGAAAATCAGGGAAAAATTCTGGTAGAACTGTGGGAGAGAAAGAAAGAAAGAAAGAAAAAAAAATCTCGGGGCCGGAAAAAGCCTAGTGCTCCGCGTCCGGGGCAGGGATGGTGTCTGAGGTATCTCTCGAGGCCTCCCCACCTCAAGACTTCTGTCCTACACACTGAAGGGGCTGTAAAATCCACTGGCCAACTCTCCTTCACGCTGGTCCTCTGCTCTTCGGTGATGCCTGTGACACCTAGGAGGCCCGTGACAGAACCAGCGGTGGCAGTGGTGTCCAGAGACACATCCCGCGTAGCGAGGGAAAGGGAGGGGGTGTTCGCCGGGGCCTACCCTCTCTCGATCACTCCTGTCACTGGACACAAACTAAAGTTAGTTCTTGAGAAAATCGAGCTGTGGAATTAATCACCTGAGGTAAGTGTGTGAGTCTCGCAAGAAGGTCCCGCGCCGTGCGCTTAAAACCAAGAGGACAGACTCGTTCCACCCGAAACAGCCACCAAACCTTTTCAGCGTGCGCTTCGCTCAACCCTACCGCGCATGCGGAACCACCTCACACTGCGCAAGCGCCGACGAAGGGGGCCTCTCCTCATCATTGATCATAGAGACTGAGTCCTCCAAGAATTAGGATGAATGTCAGTCGCAGGACGACCTGAAAAATACAGTCTCTCACTAAACTTTTATTTTGCTAAGGAGCTCTGAAGGAACGGGTAAGAGGAAAGGCTCTGATTTCGTATTCCTCAAGAATGAATCCTCTTTCTAAATTTTTAGCCAACCATAAGATGGCGCTGTGAAAGATGAAAATGGAGGACCAGCAGGAGCGTACTTCTTTCGCCAGTCGTCCGGCGTGAGCAGCGATTTGCGCAGTCGCAAACGGACGGGCGGGGGGGGGCGGGACGCGGGAGGTGGAGGAAGCAAGGAGGAGAGGCGAACCGGAATTCCGCAGTGCGCGCGCCTCAACATCCGGGCATCGCCTTCATCAAGCCCTCTTGCTCCTCCGGGACAACAGGAAGCGGAAGTGAAAAATAGGTGTCCCTGCAGCTTCTTAGCAACGCACGGTCAAGTGACACAATCAGCTGACTCCGGTAGAGGAAGGGAGTGTGGCAGCCTGTATTGAAGCTGTTGCAGCCACAATTGCCTAGCCAGGGACCCGAGCCGAAAGGTCATCGTCACAATGTCGGGCAAAGACCGGATTGAAATCTTCCCCTCGCGAATGTAAGTAAAGGAATAGGACTAGTTGCGCTCTTAGTTTCAGGAATGTCTGCCTGGAGCGTGATTCCTCCATACCCAGGGCCACGAGCGAGGCTCCTAGTTTCCTGGGCTGATTCCGAACTCTCCCTAGGGTCTTTTCATGAGTTCAGGGCCAGGGTACTTCTCGCTCCCTCACAGGTTCCTCCAGAGGAAAAGGCGCCCGGCCTGCTTGCGTCTGTGGAGGCCCTCAGCCCTTACTCGTCAGTCGGGTCCTTCACGGAGCCCAAGGTTTAGTAATGAGAGGGAAAAGCCAATAAGATCTGTAAACTGCTCTGAGAGGGGAAGTTTGCTGAGATGGGAAACAGATAGAAGGCCCCTGAGTCAAAGTGGGGTTGAGCCAGATTATCGTAGCATGGGCGTCGGATTTCCTTATTTTCCAAGATGGAAAACAAATGTCACCTGCTGTTGGAAGATATCCGTGCGTTTCGGAAGCGCTCTTTTTGCATTGTGACTACTACACCTTTTCAGACCTTTGTTATCGCTTATCACATCGTAGATATTTATTTATTGCATATATTTCGCTCCCACCAGCCTCTGGGCTCCTCCTGGCTGAGAGCATCTTGATTATAAATCCCTGAAAGATCCACACGGGATGTTTCTTGAATGAACCCGTGTCTTGGAATCTGCTTACTTGCAGGCTGTCTCCCTTTCTCTTTTGGCTTAAAGTCTTTGTTAGGAGAAATGACAGCATCGTGGTAATCAGTTTGTAAAGAAAAGTTTTGAAGTTTTCTCAGGTATGCTTAACAGCTTGTGAGAGTAGAGTTTTTAAATTATGCTCTCCTCTTTTTGTCAGTGAAAAAGTATAACGTCAGTTTTGACTCTGACATTTAGATTTTTTTGTTATGGTCCTTTTGGGGCTGTTCTCTGCCTCGTAGCATATGAGGACACTCCAAGAAAAGGTATATTCAAACTCCAAAATTAGATTTTGTCTCTGTCAGAGTGACTAGCATGTAATAAAACGTAGTTTGTTAATTTTAACCTTCATCACACTGATTTTGTTTGTTCTTTTAGGCAGGGGTCTCACTAGGTAGCCCAGGCTAGCCTTGAATTTGGGGTGATACTCCTACTTTAGCCTCCCCAGTGTTGGGATTACAGATATGCAGTACCACGCTCGGCTCGCTGACTTTCCTAAGGCTGATTACTTTACAAGCTAGTTGTGGAGAAAGGTGATAGTTGTGAAATAGATAAGGGTCAGGGCCAGCCTGGGATATTGCAGAACTCTGGGCACATAATGACTCCTTCCAAACTTGTGCATTGGCAGACAGTCAGATTCGTAGCATAAGGCCATGTCCCAAGGATAACTCCAGCTCTCCATTGAAATGACTGGCTGGAGGTATATCTCAGTGGCAGAACACTTGCCAAATGAGTGAGGCCCACTATTCAATTCCTAGCACCAAAAAAAGAAGAAGAAAAAAAAATGCACTGCAAAAATAAATGAGAAAGGGCTGGGGATTTAGCTCAGTGGTTCTGGCAACTGCCTCACAAGTGTAAGGACTTGTGTTTGATCCCCCAGTACCCAAATAAATAAATAAATAAATGAGAAAAGTGCTTGTCTGAAAAAGCCCAAAGCTACCAGAAGAATTAAGTATTGGTTGATGGATCCCTGACTTCCCTTTCTTAGAGCCCTTATTAGAAAGGGTTTACAGTTGTGAATGTATACTGTTAGAAATGTCTGTCGCAAGGATCTGAGAGCCCTTCTTAGAAAGTATAGAATCTTTGTTTCATTGCCTCTCTGGGAAGATAAGGATTCTGATTGCCATAACTGCCAGAGTAGACACACCTGTCTTCGTTGTAATTACACTGACCACCCCTTTGTAAAGTTTCATGTTGTGTAGCCAGCTGTGCTTGAGGCATACTCACTTCACTCTGTCTTCAGAACACCCAGTCACCTCTGCACAAATCAAAATGGAGCTCAGCTCTTTGGGTGCCTATAGTTGTTACGGAACAAAATCTCTTTCCATTATTTTAGCTAATGTTTGGCTGTGTTTATCTGTGACATTAGTCAGAAGGTTAAGATGTTTTTGTTTCTATCTTGGAAGTTTCAAGACTAAGAGGTGAAAATGAACCTCTTTGGGCTTAGACAAGAAATAATAGGTTTGTGAAGGTGAAAACTGCTATTTGAGAGCCCTCAGCTTGCTGACTGTGGAAAATCAGGTGCTGGAAGTAAATACATTTCCCAAGGCCCAACTGCGGGCTCTTTGTCATACAGTCAGATGTCTTTGATTCAGCTGGAAACAGTCATTGTCCTAGCTGAAGGTCAAACCTTTTTTGGTAGGAAAAAGCAGCTCTGAAATAAGTACAGTGACTGGTTTTAAAAGTCCTAAAGCCAGGTGTGGTGACCCAAGCCTCTAATCCCAGCTGAGGCTAAGGCAGGAGGATCACTGCAAGTTCAAGACTAACCAGGGCTCTATATTGAGTTCAAGACCAATCTGAGCTACATAGCGAGAACCTGTGTTTAAAAAAAAAAAAAGTCACAGGCTAAAAAATGCACTAGAGACTTCTATTTTACTGAAAGTCCACTTTATAGCATTAGCCCGTGAAGCGTTGCTTTTATGTACTACAGAAAACAAGTTTACTGGAAGCAAAAGAGGCATAAAAGATTTGGAGACAACAGAAGTCAAGCTAATTCAAGTTCTACTACTATACCTTACTCTCAGTGCTCAGGCAGGTCAGTATTTTGCCAATTTCACAGAGGTGCCATCTAAGAGGAAATAAATTGGTGTGGTAAATTCAGTTTTATCAACCAGTTAACCTGTAGACTCTAAACTTGCTTAAATCTGCAACAGTAGGATTTTACCTAAATTTGACCCAACTCTGTGCTCACTTTCAGATGTGTAGTGTCAACAGTGTATTGAGTGTGTTGAGTGTACACAGCCAGGCTTCATAGCTCCTGCCCAGGCTGGACAGAAACAGCTTTCCCTGGTGGCACTTCTGGCGACTTTCAGAGTGAGCGCTGCTCCCTGCTGCTGTAGGCCTCTTCAGGAGGGGCTCTTGGCATCTGCTTAGCTTGCAGTGGATGGAGCTTCAGGGCAGGGTAGATTTAGCTGGAGCTTTGGGCAGGTTGAATTCAGAAGTCTGGTTTAGAATCCCACCCTCTTTTTTTTTTCTTTCTTTTTTCTTCACTGAGTGTGAGAAAGTTCTTTCAGTTTTCTGAGCTTCATTTTCTAATTTGTCTTCTTTTTTTCTTTTTTAAAAGCAGTACTGGAGAGTGAACCCAAGGCCTTCCCCCAGAGCTTGGGATCCTCCTGCATTAGCATACGCCACCACCCTCATTTTCTTAATGTTTAAGTTCACATCTGAAATATTTTTCGCCTATGGAATTATCTCAGTTAACCCTATGGTAAAAGATTTCAGTGCTGTTTATGTAATTAAGAATTTGGTCAAAAGGTTTATCAATATGTGCTGTTTTGCAGTTATTAAAACACCATTATGAAATTATATCTACTTGAATCACTGTAAATGTCTACGTTGTATATAATTTATTGTTGAATTTTATTAGAACTTTTTTTTTCTCATTGAGTTTATTGGTACATTTTAGGTATACAGTACAGTTACATTTATTGTTGGGATCTTGTACCTTTACATGACAGGTCTTGGTTCTCATTTTTCCCCTTGTCCCTGCCCTCCCTTCACCCCTCCTCCCCTCCACCTTTACAAACACTTCACTTCCATTTTTTCATTTTCTCATATTTTTTCTTTTCCTTTACTAGCTTTCCCCTACCCTTCCCTCTTTCCCTACACCTTTAGCCCCTTCCTTCCTATTTCACATTGTCATTATATCATTAGGATCTTATATACTATTATAGTTTATTCACACCAGAGAAACTATTCGGTATTTACACATGTGACTTATTTATTTCACTTAGGAGTATATCCTCAATATGTATCCATTTTCCTATGAATGAATCTAATTTCTCATTCTTTATCACTGAGTAATATTCCATTTTATAGAAAAACCACATTTTTATCCAGTTTCCAACTGATGGGCAAATGGGCTGTTTCCAAGTTTTAGCTGTTACAAACTGTGCCTCTATAAACATAGGTGCGCATATATCTCTGTGGTATGAGTCTTTTAATTCTTTTGGAAAGATGCCCAGCAGAGGGATGGCTGGGTCAAATGGAACCTCTAGTCCCAGCTCTTTGAGGTATCTCCATATTGATTTCCATAGTGGTTACACCAGTCTGCACTCCCACCAACAATGGAGAAGGGTTCCTTTCTCCCCACAACACTGCCAACATTTGTTATTGTTTGATTTCCGGATAGCAGCCATTCTTTGTGGGGTAAGGTGGAATCTCAAGTGTTGTTTTCATCTGCATCTCTCGAATGACCAGTGATGTGGAACATTTTTTCATATATTTACTTGCTGTTTTTACTTCTTTGTCTGAGAAATGTCTGCTCATTTCGGATGCCCATTTTTGAATCGGATCTTTATATTTGGGGGGGCTGATTGTTTTGAGTTCTTTATATATTCTAGATAATAGTCCTTTGAGGAGCAGCTAGTAAAAATTTTTTCCCACATTATAGGTTGTCTCTTAGTTCTGTTCATGGTTTCTTTTGTAGGCAGAAGCTTTTTAATAAGATGTGATCCCAGTTGTTGATTCTTTCTGCTAGTTCCCGTGCTACTGAAGATTTGTTCATAAAATCTTTTCCTATGCCAATGTCTTCAAGAGTTCTGCCTAACTTATCTTCCAGCAAGTTTAGTGTTTCTGTTTTAATATTTAGGACGTTAATCCACTTGGATTTTAATTTAGTGCATGGTGAAAGATAAGGTTCCAGTTTTAATCTTTGGCAGGTTGAGATCCACTTTTTCCAACACCATTTATTAAAGAGGCTATCTTTCCTCCACTGAGGATGGTCAGCTGCTTTGTCAAAGATGATGTAGCTGAGTACATCTGGAGTTGTTTTTGTGTCTTCCAATCTATTCCACTGATCCCCAGGTCTGTTTCTTTGCCAGTACCTTGCT